TTGATGGTTTCTTGTTTGTTGGTTGGTTGGTTTCTTGTTTGTTGGTCCATTGCTTGGTTTGTTTTTTAGTTTAATGGGTGGTTTGTTTGTTTGTTGGTTCTTGGCTTGGTTGGTTGGTTTGTAGGTTTTTTGGTTTGCTGGTTAGCAGGTTTGTTGTTGGTTGGTTTCTTGGTTGGTTTGTTTGTTCGTTGGTTGGTTGGTCGGTTGGTTGTTTTGTTGGTTGGTTGGTCCGTTGCTTGGTTTGTTTTTTGGTTTGTTGGGTGTTTTCTTGGTTTGTTGTTGGTTGGTTTATTGGTCGTCTTTTGTATATTATGTTAACTTATTAGATTATTTTTTTCCAAAATTGTGTATTTCTTTTGTAAATAATTATATATGTGTATTTTTATATAATTATATTATATTAGATGTATTGTTCTCCAACATTGTATATATCTTTTGTAAATAATTTTATATGTGTCTTTTGTATATTATGTAATATTAGATGTATTTTGTTTTCTAACTTTGTGTATATCTTTTGTAAATAATTTTATATGATATTGTGTCTTTTGTATATTATGTTATATTAGATGTATTGTTTTCCAACATTGTGTATATCTTTTGTAAATAATTTTAGGTGTCTTTTGTATGTAATATTAATAATTATTATATATATATAAGATGTATTTAATAATAATAATATATAAGATGTATGTAATAATAATAATAATGTTGTATCGTTTTCCAAAATTATTTATATCTTTTGTACATTTGTAAAAGAATGAGAAATATAAAGTTAAGTTTATCACACCGACTGGTTTCAAATTGTTTGTTGGTTGGTTGGTCCGTTGGTTGGTTTGTTTTTTGGTTTGTTTGGTGTCTTTTGTATATTATATTATTGTTTTCCAACATTGGTTATATCTTTTGTAAATAATTTTATATGTGTTTTTTGCATTTATGTTGTATTAGACTAAACTCAGTTGCGTGATCCATCTTTCTTCTTTCTATTCTTCGTATGAAGTAACATAATGTCTTTTAGTACTCATATAGTGAACGAGAACAAGTTTCTATAATTGTAGGAGTAAATGCTGACGTTATCGTCGTCCTAAGTTAGTCTACCATCTCATGAAAAGGGCTATAATATGAGATACAACGTTCTGTATTATACTAGAATATGTTTGAGTCAGTCAACAATTCTCGTCCTATGTTAGTCTATCATCAAGAGGGTTATAATAAGAGATACAACGTTTTATATTATACTCTAAGAATATTTTTGAGTCAGTCAACAATTCTATCTATGACTTGTAAAACTGAGAAGTAAGGGAAATAACGTCTAACTTGGTATATCATGCCAATGGAGTAAACTTGAACAGTATAACATTACCAGTGCATGATTTACCACATAAACAGAGTTAAATTGCAGAGATCATGGTATTATATATTTGGTCTAATTTTGCAGTTATCATTGTCCTGGACATAAGAAAATAACGGCATACGGTACAAAGTGTGTGGAATAACAGTCCGTTAAATCATAAAACGAAAGAGTCATTTATGTCATCATGTATGATCAGATACAGCACACATCCTGCTTCCCTTCCCAGACAGTACTGTTATACAGCCCTTCACACGCCTGCAGGGCGCCAGGTAACATCTCACCTGGGCCAGCGGCACCCCTCTAGGGAAGTTTTCACACTAGGTGGGGAGGAGGCAATTATGGAACAATGGGGAAAATCTGGAAAACTAGGGGTCAAAGGTTGTTGCTATGTGTTGCTAGGGGAGCCAACGCCCACTTCGTTGGGGGTCTTCAAATTGACTTAACCACACAGAGATTACATGTTGGAATAAAAAATTCTATATTGTTCCTCATGTTCATACGACTATTCAGTCAATCATATTCTGACCCAATCACAGTCTTATCTCACGAAAGAAAGCCATTCATGCAGCATATCAGAAAAATTAGGTAATAAGTAGCCTTCACAAAATCATTTAATACATATATCTAATATATAAGACTATATATTCTGATGTAGGCAACTAAGGAATGCATTTTAATAGCAGAAAACCTTAAAATTAATCAAATTACATTTTCTACAGGCCTTTGGGTGTAACACACCAGTTTTGTACATGTACGTTCATGTACTAGCTTCATAAGACTGTATTAATAGGTTTGAACCACTCACACCGGGAAGGTCCCCTACTCTTCCGATAAGTGCGGTGGGTTCTTTTAACGTGTATGGGGTGTCTCTCTAGCTCCCAAACATGGGACCTCCATTTAACGTCCTGAGAGACGTCCCTAACTGAAGCTAGGTACTCATTTCCACCTGAGTGAAGTGAGGAAGTCGTGTAAAGTGCCTTTCCCAAGGGCACAAGATTGGGCAGGATTCGAACCCCCGACCTCTTGGGTGTGAGCCGAATGCGCTACCGACTACAAGACCCCCCATTGTATTTGCTACTTTATTCTAAGTATATTATATAGGTTACAATCTCCCCAAACATTTCAGAAAATCAGCTCATTCAGGGTCTGGAAGATTTGCCACAAGATGTATATCATAATTCTGCTCAAAACAGCAAACCATATCTCCGTTGACAGTTTTGCTTTTGATGAGTTAATTGACAATAGCTGGAAGGTGACAAGTTACATGTAGCTACTTGTATGCCCTTAAATGTCTTCTGGATTCACTGGATTGGAAGCATTACTCGTTGTAAAAAAAATCTCACATTGATATAATTTTGTATTCTCTGTTTTTCATTTGCTAGTCATATGAGCAAGCATATCCTTCGGGATGAACATCACAGGGCTTCTACTCCAGTAGTCCCACTTCTGAACTCCTCAGGCAGCCCACCATGGTTCCTGGCAGAAGAAAAACAGATAAGAAGTCAACTACATGATTACCTAGTTGACCACCTGTAGTCCCACACAAACACACCTAGCAGTGACCACCTGAAGTCTCACACAAGCACACCCAGCAGTCCACTTGTAGTCCCACACAAACACACCTACATGTAGCAGTCCACCTGTAGTCCCACACAAACACACCTAGCAGTCCACCTGTAGTCCCACACAAACACACCTAGCAGTCCACTTTTAGTCCCACACAAGCACACAGCATTCCACCCGTAGTCCCACACAAACACACCTTCATGTAGCAGTCCACCTGTAGTCCCACACAAACACACCTAGCAGCCCACCTGTAGTCCCACACAAACACACCTAGCAGTCCACCTGTAGTCCCACACAAACACACCCAGCAGTCCACCTGTAGTCCCACACAAACACACCCAACAGTCTACCACTAGCCACACAAACATACAACTTACCTGAAATCCCACTCAGCTATACCCCACCCTGGTACTCCATTTACAGTGAACTCTGCAAACCCTTCATGGATTTTGGCAGTCCATCCAAACCCAATGTAGAATATTGGAGCTCGAAGCACCTTGCACTCCAAGTGATACTTTTTGCCTCCTATTGATGGAGAAAAAGAGTTTGATTGAAATTTCAGAGACTTGAACCATCCTATTCATGATGCTACATAATGCCATGATTATCATACAGAAAAGATCAGTCAGGTTGGGACAGTGTTAAAGCCAGCCTGCATTTTTTCCGTTGTCTCAATTTTGTTTGACACAATGTTATCCTGGGACTTGCGAGATCTTGACCCTCTAAAATGCTGTTTCCTACATTTCTAGACTACCTGTACGCTTAGTTTAACCTCCATATCTTTCACATCAACTTTTGTCAGTGAAAAGATGACGAATTGGGCCTAATTTTTGTCTATCATGAGCAGCAAAATTCTGTCAAAGATGGAAAGACGGATACTGGCTAGAACACTTAGGGTTGAGACACGTACCTGCCATGAAATCAAAAGCAAACATCTTGGGTTGAATGCCGTCCTCACCACAGGTGGACAGGTCCCAGTCCAGGGAAGACAGAGAAGATTTGCTCCCATCAGGGTGTAACACATATCCTAGAGCCAACCTAGGAACAAATCATAGAAACTTAGCTTAGTCTGGAATAAACAGCACTGACTATATACGACAGATAACATATTAAACAAGAGTTTCACGATCTCATACCTTCGCCAAATGTGGTTGATGAATTATACAATTTTTAAATCATTGATTTTGTAAATAAGAGCCTCACTTGCATGGATTATATATATTCAGTTGATCATATTCTCCACCCAATGACAGCCTCATCTTAACAAAAAGGCTATTCTAGCACTTTCTCATACCTCATGCAAATGAGGTCATGATTTGAATAAATTATGTTTATTGCTGTTCACCTTCAGTTAACTTCCAAATGTGGCAAGTATGAAATTCCCAGCAGTTAAAACTTGTCCATTAAATATGGTCCACACATGGTATACATGCAGGTTGGGAGACTGTCGAAGGTGACAAGGGAGTCATTGTAAACAATTAAAAAAAACATGTTTACTTAGCACACTGAACTGTAGGCCTTATTAATTTAAACACATTACAAATCACACTTAAAAACAAAACTCCATATATACTAGGTGCTGTAAATACTGCATGTGTGTTACTTTGAATGCAGAGGTCAAGGTTGGACAAAAATTATGTTCTACATATGCATGTGGCAAAAAAATAATTGTTATGATAGTTTTTAGAAGAAGCTAATTTTGTCAGCGAGAAGATAAGAGGAACAGGTGGAAGGTTTGAATCGGTCTGTAGATGTAATGCTTTAGTTCAAAACAGCACTGTGACCTGGGGAACCATTAACTGAAGGTACTAAAATTAAACCCATCCTGAGGACTTTTGGGGTGTTCTAAAAGTACATGTTGCAGATAAGTACGGACTTTGAATTTTTGTCACATAGTGTCTTGTTGCAAGATGATAATTTATGCAAATTTTTATGACGTCACAATGACGTCATCAATACATGTAGTTATGAGGCCACGCCCATTTTTAAAAAATAGCATTTTCAAGGTAGTGCTTCAGTAAAAACTCACAATATTTTTCAAAAATGTGCATAATAGTAGGACACTAGTAGTGAGACGCCTGCCGACCGACTAGGTGATGTACGGTGGTGGTGACAAAGGGGTAACTGGCGACTGCCATGATAGACAAAGCACTGTGTTTGGCTGGAGGGAGAGATCTCGTGACCGGGAATTCCAAACCTGAAGATGATGATGATGATGAAAAAGTTTTGAGTATAACGTGGTGCTGTATTCTAGTTACAAGACAGTGTAGGTTTTTCTTCTGTAAACTAAGTAAATTTTTAAATCCTATGGTGGTGTGTACGTGCAGGATTAAAAAAAACGGTTTTAATCGTGAAATAACTCTCTCCATTTTCTGGCTTGTTTGAGGCTCAAACAAGCCAGAAAATGGAGACAGTTATTTCATGATTAATTAAGTGTGGGTGTAACAAAGAAATCAGCAAAAGAGCATTTTTACTTGTTTATCGGGTAGAAGATTATTGCATCCATATTATATGCATATACCTGTCGGTTTTTGCACAGAGCCTTTTTTTAATTCTAAAATGCTCAAAGGCCTCTGCTGTAATTAAGGACGTTCAATCATGTATGCTGTAATGCAACCTTTTCAGATCATACAAAAACCGACAGGTATATGCATATAATATGGATGCAATAATCTTCTACCTGATAAACAAGTAAAATTGCTCTTTCGCTGACTTCTTTGTTACACCCACACTTATTACGTGTTCAGATAATTTGTCTCGAAGTAAGAGGTGTTTATTTTTCTTCACTCCACTTTTGACTAAGCGAGTGTCTTGCATGGTGTAGGACGTGTTTTCCAGAGCAGGTAGCTAATATTAAGTGGCAACATGTTTGGAGAGAGGCAGCAGCCGCAGACAGGCCAGCAAAACACAGGTAAATATTGTTACATTGACAAAATATTATTGACAGGCTATGGCAAAAACAGTTATGAAGCAACTACATGTAAATATGATTTTGGAAACTGTCAGATGTTTCGGGTAGCATCCACTACATTCCGTTAAGCCTCGGTCACAACCCGCCGTGCATGCTTTTTGCTCGTACATTTATTGGGAGGCCAGGTCTGCTACGTTTTTCTGAAAACGTGGGGAAGGAGTGGCATCGACGCACGTCACTCGCACGGTTTCGCAAGGTGTAAGAGTGTGGTCTGCACAACAAGTCTGGCCGTGCAGTTGGGTGCATCGTTCGTTGCACAAGTGGTGAGTTGTACATGCTTACGACGTACGATTTCTATGCGATTGCAACTTTATCATAGGGAGGTCGTACTCACACGTGCTGCTTACGTATGGTACGTACATGGCACGCGCGTCGCTCGTACTCGCACGTGCAGGTGGTGAATCCGCAGACCGGATATCTCTTTATGTATGAAGGTGTTGTGTAGTCTGAGGTTGTTGGGCTACAATGTTTTTTATTGAATTTTCCATTTTGGACAGTCCAATCACATAATGGTAATGGCCCGATATGTAATTTTTACGCAAAAATTGAATATTCTAAATATATCACAATTCTTGGTGCTATCAGCATTTCCTATAGCATATTTGTGTCATTATTCACATTGTTAACGTTACTATGTTTTGTGCACACAAATAGTTCTTGTACGGTTCTTGTTGTACATCGGTTTGGTCTAGACAAAAACAACAACAACAACAATATACGGTGGTAGCCCCTCTATCCTTCCAAAATAAAAATAAAAGTCTGGTAACGATGATATCTTACAGAAACTGGTGAAGAATCAGGCTGGCAAGGCATTGGTAGCTTACCACCATGCAAATAGCATTTGCTCCCTTGTAACCAGGTTATTTTTTCTTCTGTTGTGTTTCTTAACATTAACGTTTAATCTATCTGCATTATTTTTGTCTGGTTTATGTTGACGGCTATTCCGAGATCAGAGTGCGCCAATGGCATCGTGCATCGTTATGTCAATCTTACTCTGTATTTATCGCATTCTGTTGACATTTATCAAACTTGTTATACTAATACAGTTATTTTCCAGACAATCAGGAAGAGATTTGGTGTTAAGATGTTTAAAACTTATGCTATGGCCAATTTAAGACCAGAAATTTGCATAAAATCTACGTTATGCTGTTGCACTTGGAAAATGCCAGTTTTTGAAATATGCTTTTAAGTAATTTGGGAACAAAAAAATGGAATGAAAAGATTTGCAATATGTTCAGACATGCTCAGTCTGATATTTTTTTCAAAAAACCTGATGATGATTGGAAATTTCTCTTTTCTAGAGCGCATTTATCAATATGTTGTACACGTTATGTAAAATTCATAAATTAACACATTGCAATTAACTTAATATATATCTCCCTGTACTAAAAAGGATGGTGATAGAACTGGCCATTTTGCATGTTATGCATTAGGTACATCCATATATGACACAAAACATGTGTTTTTATGTTGCTTGTCCTTTGGGTTAATATGGCTGATGGCTTACAGTTACCTGTCTTTTTTGTCCGAGAAAATGTGTAGTGTCCGTTGCTCGGTAATAACTTAAAATAGAAAACCTGTGGGTGCATATGATTTCAGGTTTTGAGACAGCTGAAGATGCTGACTTAAAACACAGTAGCTACTTCAGTCTATTGCTGTAATTATATGAAATAATGTCAAAAAACCTCAAGGGTGTAGTGTCCGTTGCCATGTAGTGTCCGTTGCCAAGTATACCATATAGGTACATTAATTACATTTTGTTGCAATTTTGAAGTAATTTTGTCATTTATGTTATTTCTGACATAAATGACAGGTCTTGCAAGATTTGGTGTTCTTGTCATGTACTTGAGCGGCCACATCTGAAATGAGTGGGCTAAGTTTGGAAGAGCACAACTTTTGAACCAAACGTCTCTATCCAAAAATTTAAAAAGTGCAATGTATGGCAACACTTCTAGTGCGATTTTCTGCACTGAAAGTAGAAAAATATAAAATTTGAAAAATTGGCCCAAGTGCAACCCTTTGGCGCACCCTGATCTCGGAATAGCCATGAAAAAAAATTAAAAGTACCGATGCAAGATGGCTGAAAAGGTTTAACGTGCATAACGTCCATTTTAGCCCCAAAAGACGTAGCAGACCTTCAACTTCTATTATACATACTTTTTGCTTCACTGTATTAAATTGAATTTCAAAGGGATTGACGGTTTTACCTAGTACACAGTCACACGAATACTACCAACTACATTACCTTCTTAGATAAGATACATTTTAAAATTCACAGTTAAATACTTCTCTTGGGTGATAAAATCAACCAGTCCTACTAACATTTGCACTAGTGACGGGCTATATGAAAATATGAAAATTTTATTAGGTGCCGCACGCACACAACGGCCCCAGACTGATTGGCAAGCACGTGCCCACGAAGCAGCGCGTATTCCGAACCCTTCATACATCTCTACTAGTGCAGGTTCAGTATATTTACTTCAGACTTAGTATTGTTTTGTTTCTTATAGCTGCTTTAGTTATGTTCAGGTGTGGAATTTTTTTTCGATAGGTGCTGGTCCCTGCTATCGTGTATTGCATTGTATTTATCTAGTATTGTAAAGTAACAAGTTAAAAAAAGATGTGGGATTTTAACATTTTTTCTCTCGCCTGCTTTGTGTCCTTTTGTAATTTTAAAAACATACTATCATTTCGAGTGTCAATATAAACTGATCAGAATTAGTTACGTTTCTCTGCATGAGGCTGGCTATGAGGGCGTTACAACTAGATTTCTTTAATTTTTATATTAATTGTGAATTTTTACTAAATGGTCAGCTAAATATGTATGGTTGTATCTTAATGCATCACGTAAGATTAAGACAATGGGGACATTATAAACATTTTGGTTCAATTGATGGTGCCCTCTTAAGTAGAAACTAAACTGTCGTTGGTTCTAAATACTGTAAGTGTAAATCATTTATTACTTGAGATAGAAAATGACAAGAAAATTATATATTTTAATGTTGATGAGTAGCCACAGAAACGAAGAAGAAAGAATGTGCATGGCGATGCAAAACGTCGTTGCAAA